CGCCCCTTCCCACATCTCACCTGTGTCCCTCTCCTCACCCCCATAGACTTACCTGGAGAGAGGTATGGGAACTGCTCTTCACCACTACCTAGCTCCCTGAGTCCCACTCCCTGCAGCCCCAAGCGTCCCCTTGCAGGCTGGAACTCTGTCAGCCTGCAAGGCAAAACCCACAGTTTCCTGCATTTTTCTCCTTCAAAGGGAAAAAAGTGTTGAAAGAGAAAATCCCAGTTTTTTCACAGCAAACAGAAAACCTGAATTCCTGTTAATGATACAAGAAAGAAATCTTAAAAAAGCCAGTGAGACAGAAAGGAAGAACAAAAACAAATCTTACAGTGTTCACAACATCCAAGTCAAGTGGATGTTTAAGTAATAAAACACAAATACAGTTTCCCTACTCCATATAAAACTGAAAATTATAATATTAAAAACAAGACTTAAATTCTCAATACTCAACACATTAAAGTTAAGCTACAAGATTCAAATGTGAACTCATCCATGCAAAAAAACAGAACTGTAAATCAGGAAAGTTGTTTTAGTCCCCTAAGCAGGATTCAAGTGAAGGCTTCCACACTTACGTTAACTTGGCCTTCCCTCACACTGTATTTACCTGAATCCAAGATGACATTGAATTTAAGATGACACCCCCCCAGGAAATTAGAGCCTATACATGGAAAATTATAAATTTGTTATAATCTTAACAGAAGACTGTTTTAAATTCCCGCCCCCTAAGCTGCTGTGCTGGGGAGCCAGGGTCCAGACCCCTGCCACTTGTTCCCCGTGCCTGTGTCTATCCCACTTTTACCTGCCTACCATATGCCTGTCCATGCCTGTGCCTGCCCCCCAAAACCCTGCCTCCTGTGCCTGCTCCCCTCTGCAGCCTGCTTCCCCCACCCCCTGCTCCTCGTGCAGCCTGCACCCCCAACCCACTGCCCACCCCCTAGAGCTTGGCTTCTCTGGCCTGGCTCCCCCCTACCCTCCAATCCTTGCATGTGTTCTGCTGAAGCTCTGTTCCTCTTGGGCAGTCAGTGGCAGTATGGCCCTGGCCCCAACCCAGCCCAGCCAAGAAGAACTGTCAGCAGCTGCTGACTGGACTGGGTCAGGGCTGGAAGAACCAGAGCTGGAGCAAAAGGTTAGTGGAGAGGGGATAGCTGGGGGAAGGGGAGCTGGGGTGTCAGAGGCAGGGGGTTGGGGGTAGGCACAGAAACAAAGGCCAGGGGGTGGGAGATTAGGGCACATGGTACCCCCCACATACCCCACAGTCTCCCCAGTGCTCTCCCAGCCATGTGCCTCCTCTCTACCAAATAAGCCATTCCAGATGGTGGGGCAGATGGTAGCTCAGCTTTGGCCTTGGCCCCAGGCTGGTACTCAAATCCAAAATGGGGCTTTCTTTTTCCTAAAGGTGCACTGATACATTATTCCGATATCGGATTGGCACCAATATAAAGACAATTTTCTGTATGAGAAATTGGCCTGATGCAGCCAATAATTTGTCCAATAAATGCCCGTGTGTGTGTGCAGCTGCAGTGCAGCACATAGGCAGTGAGAAGCAGAGCCGACAGTGTGGAGAGCTGTGTGCAGTTGGTAAGTCTGGTGAGGTGGAAGGAGAGGGGCGAGGGGGTGGGGGTGCAGATAAAGGCCCCTGTGGTGAGGGAGGGTGTGGGGTTGGGGTTGGGGCAGGTGCTGTCCAACTCGGGGCATCGCTCATCAGGGGGGCATGGGAAGGGGGGGCGTGGCTCCTGCTACTGTGTGCGGCTCATCTAGGAGGACATGGGGAGGGAGCGTGTGCCTCTGGATCTGTGTGGGGCAGGGTGGGGTGTGCTGAGGCCGGGCTCTTCCCAGTCAGGCAGATCCGGGGGCACCCCCCCACCATGCCCTCCTGGACAAGTGGTGGGAGCAGCAGCAGGAGCCACCAGACGAGCACCAGATGAGCTGTGTGCAGCAGTGGGAGCTGCCCCCCATGACAAGCACCCCCTCCTATGAGCCGCGCCTCCATCCTGCACCTGCTCAGAACCACTTGTGGCTCTGTCCTGCGCCTCTCCCTGCCCCAGCTGGTAAGTGCCTGCCCCTACCTTAGCCCCATTCCCTCTCTCACCACAGGGGCCTTGATCTGCCCCCCTCCCCCTCCACACCCCATCCCTCCTCTTCCACCACACCAGGCTTACCAGCTGGATGCAGATCTTCAAACTGAAAAGCTGTGTACTGGAAATCAGATCAGTATTGGCCAATATGCCTCCTTAAAAACTGGCTAGAGGTATTGGCCTCAAAAATCTCTATCAGTGCACCACTACTTTTTCCCCATGCCTACTGGGGAAAAAAACCTCATCTTGAATTTGAATAAAGACAGCAATACAAATTTCAAATACAAAGACAGCAATACAAATTTCATCCATTCTACTGAATAACACAAGCATCAATATTAATATTGACATGTTAAAACAATATAAAAGTGTAAGAGGTTCAAAATATGGACCATGAATTGTATTAACTTTACTGTAGTAAAAATCAGGGAGCTGACCCAAAATCCACAGGCATATCAATCAATAGGCATCTTTCAACCATCATCAACTTGCAATGTATCAGACCTATACCCTTTTTTTTATTTCCCTGAATTAGGTTCACAAACTCCATGTTGTATTAACATATATTTTTGCATTTTAATTTCTCTTTTTTTTCCCCACAAGGAAGAGCCTATTAATGCCTATTAAACCTGGAGAATTCACAAGCACTCCTGACTTTTTGCTTAAGTTTTTAAATTATTGGGCTTCTCCAGAGTCCTTGGGTGATAAAACAGATCCCTTTCTGTAACTCTCTACCTCCAATCATAGCACATTCACTCTTTTCCTTCAGCCTCTGAAGAGCAAGCAAGATCAAATTCTATACAGAAGCCCTTTAACACTCACTGGCCATGCTTACACAAGATGCTGATTGCACAGTAGTGTCATGTGGCAGGAAGCGTGATGTGATGCTACTGAGCAGTAGTCATGAGCTACTGTGCCGTCAGCATCACAAAACCGTTCCTTGGTGCAACTGAGCAGTAACTCTGATTACTGCCCAGTGAGGGTCTTGTGTAGATGTGGCCACTGGGTGTGTCTACATGTGCAATTAGAAGCAATAAGCTCCAGAGCAGTTTAAGCCAGAATAAACTACTCCTGGGCACAATGTCTACACATGTATCTGGGACAACAGCAATTTGAGCCAGGGTGGAGTAGTTTACACCAGGTGATGGTGTTTATGCCAGGTGGCGGCGTCGGGCTGTGGAGGGGCTGGCTGGAGCACGAGGATGCTGAAAGTGTAGAGTCATGTGACTAGGCAGCAGGCAGGAAACTGGCTGGGCTGACTGGGCACAATTTACGCCTGTGGGCAGCGTCTACACGTGCGTTTAATCACAGTAAATTATGCTGGCATAAGACAGTACTGTCCCCAACAGTACTATCTTATTGCAGCATTAGTTTACTGCGGCCTAATACCACTGCACACGTAGACAGTGATGCTTTACTCCACAGCTAATTAGTCTATGCTGCAGTTAAGTGCACATGTAGATATGGCCAATGATAGAAAGAACATCTGGAGTCCATCTTTTCCTCTTACCTGTGATCTGATATGGACTTCCAGGTCCAGAAGAACTTCCTGGGGAATTAGGGTAGCTGATGCTGCTAGGTGACTGAGAAAAGATGTTGCTGGGTGATGATGGATAAGGGGTGCAGGGAGGATGCTGGAAAGAATCAGGGTAAGTGGCATTATGTGGCATCAGGGGCTCGCTGTGGAGGGAAGCATTTCGGAACTTGGCAAGGAGGCTGAGGTGCGGGTTAAACTCACTGTGCCTTGGAACAAGTACTGGAGGCAACACTGTAAATAAAGGAAGGACGGACATATTTTAGTAAAAATCTCATTCTAGCACATTATACCTCTTTTAGTCACAAGTACAACCCCACCAAAATGTCATTCTTTTGTTCTATTCTTTGAATGCTGATATAAACATGCTGTAAACTTTTAAATACTATTTAGGAGGATTTGTTTTTGGTTAGAACAGGTAACAGATCAATTTATCCATTTTCCTTCATTGAAACTAGGGAATGATAAATTTGCTCAACAACCAGTCTTTCTTCTGGGACAGCATTGGACACACACAGAGCTATTAAATAGCTATTTACAGCTATTAAAAGAGTACTATGGCTCCATAAGCCTAATGACCTCTGATTTCAGTTTATATACACTAAAGCATGTGCTCCATACACACACACCAAAAATGGAAGTGCTGTATTTACCGTCTTCATGATTACAGACCTTGCTGGGTAAGTCAAAGATTTCCAAGATCCTCTTGACGAACAGCAGTTGTCAAATTCAGAGCCCCATTTAATAGTAAATAATACTACCTAACATATTCCTTCTGTATATTTCAAAGGTTGAAGGGGTCAATATATATATTAACCGCACATTATAGACTTGAACACTGAGGTACAAGAAGAAAAGAGGCCAGATTTTAAAAGCTGCTTATGCACCTGATAATGGAGATAGGCATTTATTGGTATTTTCTAAAGCAGGAGTAGCCAAACTGTGGCACTGAAGGAGACAGACGTTACAGTACCAGATATGGCAGGAAGCAGAAAGCAAAACAGCAAATTGGGCAGCGGAAGGGGATTTGAGTGCACTTGGAGAGGGTACAGGGCTAATTCATGACATGTCTGCCAAAAAGGTTAGCTTCCACTGTTCTAAAGGAAACTCAGATACAAGTTCAACTAGAACATATACATGATAGAAATATGTACAGCTACTCTGTGTGTGTATGTGTGTGTGCCAGCGTGTAAACAAAATATAGCATTACAACATGAATGTAAATGCCAAACAGTCAGGATAGTAAAAAGTTAAGCTGCAAGATTCAGATCTGAATTCAGTTATGCAAAAAATTCAAGGTTGAAATCATCAGAATTACTTTGGATTTGCACGAGTGTAACAAGATCACGATCTAAACCGAGGAACTTTTGAAGTTCCCACTGGGTGCCCTATCCATTAAGCTGCCTCTCATAGTTAGGAATTCATAGGAAGTGCTAGTTTATAAACCAAAAAGCCAACAGAAGACAAGTGAGCAGCTTTGTTCTTGGGCTGAAAATAAATTGTCTCAATAATGGGAAAACAACATAACCAGTTCAGGCTTATTCAGTTCCCCTAGCCTGAAACCTAGTATTGTACTATGGGTCTAGGTATATAATCACTTTGCTAATTCATGGAAGCACAAAGCAATGAACAGGTCTGTTATAAATGACAATATGGATTGTAAATCCATCATCTATCTGCTCTATTCCATAGCAAGTGTGATTACAGTTTGGTTTTCCACTTTGTAGCGGCAGAGCTGTTCATCTATTCACACCTGAAATCTACTAACCAGCATAGTAATTATTTGTACTACAGAGTGGCCCCATGGTCAAGCCCTGTAATTTAGAAGAAAAGAGCTGTTTGCTGTATTTAATGATGGTATATTTTGTAATCCATTCCCTGTTTTAGAAAACAGGGAAACCTCAACTCCCTGTTGAGTCTCACTTTTTGAGAACTTTCCACTCATGCTTTTACTCCATCTCCTCTCTTTTCTTTCCTATTGCAGATGGAGGTGTAACTTTTTCTGCATTCATTATTTCCATGCTGGATTTTCTCTGCTGTCGTTTTCCTCTTTTTCCCACCCAAAAATCATCCTTTTGGTAATTTATTCCTCTTCCATCAATGCTTTCCTGTCTCTCTCACCTTCCCCAGCCACAATTCTACAGCCAC